AATATAATAAATTGTAATATATAAAATCAAAAGTATAAAATAATAAAGTAACATAAAAATAATATATATATTTTTAATATAAATATATAAAATAAAATAAAATTAATAAAATATAAATATATAATTAAATGAGTTGATGTTTATAACAAAAAATGATTGACACAATTTTCAAGGCAATCACCACCCTTACCAAAGAGATGCCATTAACACTCCTCTATTTTAAATATAAAGTTGACCAAAATAAATCAACCTCATGAATTTGGAGGGTTAACAGCCCCCATAATATTGGTATGACATGAGTGAAACTATTTTAAAGCATGTTTTTGGAAATAAGCTTTTTTCAAACTACTAGTAAATACATATTTTTTTTTTCTATAAACATTTAAACATGTTTCTCAACAACAACAACAACAAAAAAAAAAGGAATCTTAAAATAAAAAATACATGAAAGTACCTGATGATTCAATTTGCCTTTAAAATGTAAAAATTTGAAACTCTTCAGATTTTGATAAACAAAATTAATCCCCAACATTTCTAAAGCGTTTGAAGTCTTAGGGGTTGTTTGTTTACCTCTTAATAGTTTTACTAAGAGGCAGTATCTGAATCGTTAAGAGGTGAATCTTGTTTGATAAAAAAAGTATGCCTCTTAATGGTTCTAAAATCCTCTTAATGATTTTACATCATGGGTCTCCCTTAATCATTTAGCGCCCTAATTTCATTATAAACAATTATATTTTATTTTGCATTATATTATAAGAACATGTTAATCATTCTGACCACTTAATCGTTATACATTAAACAGTTCAGTAACTACCAACACCCACTAAGTATCATTGGAACTGATTGATAAAAAAATTATTAAGAAGTGTTTGTAAAAGCGGTCAGAAATCAGGATGAAAGAGTTGTTTTATTATCGTCAAAGTTGTGATCTTGATTAAGAAAAGGATGGATTAATTAAATTGTATTTAATTGATTAGAATTACCTTCTGGTTTACTCTCCGATTTAATTATGGAACATTTTAAGTTTTTAACTAAAAAATAAAATCCCGATTTACACTTCGAAAATTCAAAAGCATGGTTCAACCGAAATAAAGTATATCAATCAAATTGAATCGATATGTCCGGTTTGAAACTTCAAAACCAAGTATTTTGATTCGTTTAATAAAGTATAATCCGTTTTTTCATATCAAGATTTGGATTATTGGCACAATCAACAGAAAAATAGCTGATCACATTTGCACGAGCCAGCGGTCTTTATGGAAACAGTTTATCTAGCCGTGGGGTTGGAGGTCAAATCCACTTACATTCCAACCCCAGACCATAAAAAGTGCTAAAAAAATGATGAATACAAAAGTATGGCTCGAAAACACTTGATCTGAATTCATAAACAATGATGATTAATGTTCGTTTACATACGCAAAGATTAGCAGCCACATATAGAAAGAAAAGAAGCAAGAGTCAGATGGGGAACCTGTTGCAGAGAACAAGTTGGCAGCTAAAATGACATTGCAATTCATGCCATTTCTCCTACAGCAAATCACAAGATTGAACATCACTGCCATTGATTCTATAGTCATTCGTTCAGGAACACTGTTAACAGCAACCATTGCAGTCTCTAGATCCATTTCAGAATCCCCTTCCCTACTCATGATGGGTGAAATTTACCATCTTGTCCTTGGCATGCTAACCAATTCCTTTTGATATTCTTTCAGACATATCAGAAACAATGGCATAATTTTCGCTATCATAACATGCAGTAAGAAAAGCTCTATGCGTTATTTGGTCAATGTTCTTGTCTTTATCAATGAGTTTGTGAACAAAAGAAGCTGCAATCTCCACTTTCTTTTCACTACATAGCTTTCTTACCAGAGTGTTAACAGTACGAACCCATAGTTTTTTCTCTAATCTATCTAAGACCTTCATGGCTGTAAGAGAGTCATTCACCTTGCAATACTCGTAAGATATTGTCAAACGAGTAACTTCACATGGCGAAAGTCCCTTATCCATCATGGCATCGTAGTGTAATCGAGCCTCATCTAACTTTGACCCTTTGCAAAGACCACTTATGAGAGCACAATAAGTAATACTATCAGGCACAGAACCATGTTCGCTCATTCTCTCGAACATTTTTGTAGCAGAATCGACTTTCCCATCTCTACAATACCCACAGATCATAGAAGTGTAAGTTTCCTTAGTTGGGACCAAGCCATGCTTCACTGCATCATCAAAAAGCCTCTCACTTTCTTCCATTCTTTTTATTCGAGCAAATCCTGAAATCAAAGTGGTGTACAAATGTATATCAGGTTTGATGCCAATCTTGATCATCTTGCTAAATATCGCTAAGGCATGTTTAATATCCGATTGCTTGCATTTCTGCATTATGAGAATAGTATATGTAACCTCATCAGCTTCCAACCCCTGTTTCAAGACAATCTCCAACTGTTTATATGCTTCTTGAACCCTTCCTTTTCTAAATAACCCATCAATAATCGCATTGTGGGAACACATATTTGGAGGCGAGCCTTCTTTGCTCATCTCATCCATCAATTCATACGCACGACTTAAATTTCCACTTTTGCAATGCCCACTGATGAGAGTAGTATAAGTATCTTCGTTAGGAACCAATCCCTGTTCGTGCATCCTGTTCAAAAGCATCTCTGCACGATTAACTTTCCCCTCTTTGCAGTACCCGCTGATCATAGCAGTGTAAGTGTGCACATTAGGTTTATAAGATTCACTTCTCACAAGCTTCAGAAAAAGCCTAAATGCTTTATCAGTCCACCCCTTCTTACACATGCCATCGATCAATGCTGTATGTGTATACACATTTGGCTTCCACCCGTCCCTAACCATCTCTTCTAACAATTCGAAAGCTTGCTTAACACGTCCCTTCTTACACAAACCATTTATCAAGGTAGTAAAGTTAATAACATTTGGTTTTAATCCCATCCCAATCATCTTATAGAAAAACCATAATGCTCGATTTATGTTACCCTTTTCAGAAAAAGCAGCAAGAACTACTGTACATGTAGCATTGTCTATGAAATATCCCTTGTCCAACATTGCAGTTAACCATTTATCAACCTGGGAAATATCATTAAGTTTACAGTAAGAGGTAATCAAAATCTTGAAAGTACAAGCATCAGGAAATGCACCTCTTTCAGACATTTCAACAAACACCTTCCTTGCAAGTTCAATGGAACCCATCTCTGTAGCCACATTGAGTACACAATTTAGGGTATGAGTACACGGCTCCAGACCCTGGTTTCTCATTTCAATAACCATACTAACAGCCTCCTTCAACCTGCCAATCTCAGCCAGATTCCTCACCATACACCGCATCACTTCGTGGGCCCTCTCCGAATTCCCATTTTCGATCATCGACGTGGCCGCAACGACATAAAACCGCATAAAATGCCTGAATCTAGCAAATCCAATTGCCCAATAAAAGAAACTGAGAGCCACCATTGATCCAGCCTCGTCGGCAAGGGACGCAACTACGGTGATCGCTTCTTCGGCCATCAAATACTCAGAACCAATGGAAAGATTAAGCTGAGTAGGTGAGGATTTGAAATGGGTTTGTTGCTGATAGTATGATTGACAGACCAAAGAACATACGGTTCTAACCACAGACTTGGAGGAAGATGGAGAAAGAGGAGGAGGAGCAGGAGGAAACCAGTCCGTATGCGATTCTTCATGGGATTTGTAGGAAAGATGCCTATGGTTAACCAGAGAGTTAAATTGGGTGTTACAAACACCATTGAAAAGCCTTCTTTCACTGTTGATTCGAAGCATAGATGATGCTTCCAAGTGATGGACGTTTCAAATGTAAAGAAGCCCCTGCGCATGGACGGGATTAACGGCACTTTCCTGTCATCAAGTCCTATTTTATTTTCCTTTTTTGTATGCTCTCATTTTTTTAGTTGCTCATTTTTCCTAAGTTGCTAAACAATTTAGTGTAAAATAATTAAGTGGTTAAAATAATTAACGGGCTCTCATGATACAGTGCAAAATAAAAAATATATTTGTTCGATATTGTTTACAACAGAATTAGGATGCTAAATAGTTAAGGGAGACTCAGGATACAAAATTCATTCAGATGGTTTTAAACATCATTAAGAGACGGATTTTTTTTGTCAAACAAGATTCACCTCTTAACGATTCAGAAATTGCTTCTTAATAGAATTATTAAGAGATAAACAAACAGTCCCTAGCTCGTCATAGGGCGAGCCATGCAGTTATGTGTTAACCGCTCGTATCATCGATCTCTCATATAAATACGTAAACGAGAATGTTAATGTATATAACTTTCCGTACTTTGTCAAAGAAGTGGGTCTAGACCATAAGAATTAGTGACATCTTTGAGTTGCCAATGCCACTTTCAGCAATAGAAAGATGTGAAGAGGTTGGTACTCCCAACATGTTTATCATGTGCCCAAGATGTATTAGTGTGGACTAGAAGGGTATTCGAGCAATGCGTCAAGACATATCTATATTAAATGTTTTGTTTTATTCTTTATCTATATCGATATAATATAGTTTTATGTGGTTTTGAGAAAACGATATTTTTATTTTATTTTTTAATAAAATATAAATTATAAATATCATAAAATTGTAAAAGGAATATATAATATTAGTATCAAATTAACTATTTAAAAGTTTTTGTTTTGTGTAATTTCTCTAATTCAAATTTTTTATTATAATTTAATTTTACGTAACGAAGTAATTTAATTTAAGTTTAATAATATGATTTTTTATAAATATAATAATTAAGTATTCTGTTAGAGCTCAATGATTATCCTAATTTTATTTTAGATATTTTATATTTAAAAATGATATGTTTATCTTGTATTTGATTATCTTTATCTGTAGTTGGTTATACGAATTTAAACACAGAGCTTTAATAAGATGTACTTATGCAAAATTTACTTGTAATCTTGAATATTAAGTAATATGTATCAATAAACAATACTTTGTACATAAAAATAGTTTTTAAAATTTTTTATCAAATGCTTTATAATATAGTATAGATATACCAAAATTGACTCTATGAATCTTGTTTGAATGTACCAATATTAATAGTAGCACCCTTGTTTAATTACAAAAAATAACGAACCAATTTCTACATCGATCAAGATTGGAGGAAAGACTGATCAGAAGAAGGATAGAGTTACCAGAAATGCTCGTTGGTGTCACATTTCATGAAACTACTAAAATAAGGTAAATAGGTGGACACCCTTACAGAATGAATAAAAAATTGTAATTCATTTTCGTCATATTAGAAGTAAAAGCGTTATACAACAATCTTCACATGTGATGATTAAGAACAAAAGACATTGAATTAGGCCAATGCATTACATACAAGCCAACTTAATACAAAAAACCAGGTAAGAAGGTGGACATCGTTGCAAGATGAATAAAAAAGTTGTCATTCATGTTTATCATATTGGTACTAAAAACGTGTTGTCATTCATGTTTATCATAATACATACAAACCAACTTATTCTTACGGAATGAATAAAACATTTGCCATTCATGTTCATCATATCAGTACTAAAAGCGTTATACAACAATCTGTCACATATGATGATTAGGAACAAAAGACGTTAAATTAAGACAATGCATACATACAGAACCATGGGAAAAGTTCGAAAAACAAAGAATAAACATGGTTGCTACCAGATGTGCAAGTAAAAGTTATACAACATGTGAAGGCAACAATTTGATGACTCAATCGATGAGTTGGGTGCCAAAGATTCGATATTTTCTACTACCCCACACGTTGGTCTTGTCAACGTAATACGATTTTAAGCAGCATTGTATCCATGGCGGATTTCTTGGCTTTTTGGCACCTTCTTTAACTCCAAGCAACGCGTTTTGCAGTCTTATCATTTTATAAAGGGAGGGGTAGCCTCCAAAGAACTTCACCTAATAAAGGGAATTAGCAAGGAGATCAAAGATCACAACTCAACATAATCTCATACTTCCAAAATAGACCTGTAGTTTCATAAACCCCCCCCTCCCAAAAAAAAAAAGATAAACCCCACCTCCAAGTGGATTAAACTAGGTTAGTTTGGTTTGGTTTATCCCGTAAGAAGATACTGTAGAAGCGTCCCAAGAACGACAATTCAGAACAGTGAAGTTTTCTGTAAAAAGAGGTACATACCGCATCTTCGGCATATAAAAATGCATGGAGTCTGGTTGTAGGGTCTTCAAGGGTTAACCTTAGCCTGTAAGTACCACAAGGAGCTCGGAAATTGCTAGGCTGACCTGGAAATGTTGCCAGTACCCTAACTACACACCTGAATTTGGCTGTTACCTGCAACATATTACTCAAACTCATCAGGACAATCAAATTGTAATATTCACATTTCACGGTTAACAAGTATTTTGATGAGTTAATTTGTGTGAGTTGATGCATCCAGAGTGTCCTGCCAACATCAACGCCTGAGATCTAAAGAAGTAGGAAACACTTCCATTGATGTTGGTTGGGGGTCTTCATGGAACAGTCGCTCTACCCTAGATGACAAGTCTGCATACATCTCACACTTCTTTCAAGTGGAATTATTGGGTTCGTTTCATTTCATTTGGTTTTGATGTTGGCTGGGGAGCAAGAAGGCGTGACGGGGCTACTGTGAATACCTCAGTTTGTGGGAAGAAATAACTTTCCGATTCCTCCAAGAAATTAACAATTATAATTCAAAAGTATCGTTCAAGTGACCACTAGAATACTAACAAACTGTCTTTGAGTCATCTCAAAAATTTCAACTCATTCTAGGGCCAGATTAGTGAATGATTTGAATCATACTCATTCTAGGGCCAGAAACAACATATGGACATTATTCCTTGTTTGTTTATATCTATATTTTGTTACTTTGTACCAGAATAACAGTACGGTTGGACAACATCATTCACTTCAGTTATATTTACAGAACTACAAGGAGATGGGTGGAGTCACACTCCTTTTGCAAAAAATCTCACCAACATTTTTTGTCATGGTTATTCCGATATCTTGACATAATTGGATTTTCCTCCAAAAGATAAGAATCATCCACTCTGAAACAAGAAATTGGTCATTTGACCTCAAAAGTCCCAAAAAAACCTCTTGTTCTTAAAAGGGAAAGACTTGTGACAATTTGGTTGAGATGGGTAACAGTTAAGACAAAAGGTAGTTCAGATAACTCTAAGATTATGGGGCCGTTTACCAAACACTTACCCGGTAAGCGCTTACCGGTGAAATTCAACACCATCACTTACTTGTTGGGTAAGATTTTAGTCCACCAATATGCAACAATTTACCCGGTAAGCACTTACCATGGCAAGAGTCGTCGCCCTCACTTACCGGGTAAGATTCTAGGTCCTTAGCATATACATCCTGTAAGGTAATGTGAGTTGATGAGCTTTTACTAAGGTAAGCGTTTAGTAAACGGCCCCCAAGTGTTCTATAAGTAGAGGAAATAAAATATACGTCACAAAATAAGGATTAAGGACCGCCACAAGAAGAGGTTAACATATCTAATATATCAAAAGAAGTGATGCACAGCCGTTTCTATCGTTACGTAGCAAAATGATACTATTGGATCAACAAAGAAATGAAAGCAAGGGTTTTAATAGTTGACAATGAATTTTATATCACACCTCAGGATAGGATAAGATGTCCATTAGTGTAACAAAAGGCACATCCGGATAGTCGGTATCTGCATGGTGTATGATCAGTAACAATTAGAAGGAGATCATGGACTTCAGAAAGTGTAAATAAATGGAACAAGTTGCTCAATAACAGGGATGTGATGTGCAAGGGGGGGATACATACAATATATACATATATACCTATAGACATGCACACATGCATATAATATGTATATATATGTATAGAGAGAGAGAGAGAGAGAGAGGAAGGATAAATTATATAATCCCTGAATCTGAGTGGAGCCATAAAATAATATACAAGTATGTAGGAGTGCTAAACCTGTAATATGGGAAGGCCAAGGGAAGCTTGATAATGGCATTCGATCCCATTTCCTTTTCACCCGTTCATCATATGCCCTAAATCACATGATAAAACATGTGAGCATTTCTTCCACATGCCTTAAAGGACATAACCAGTGGTGGTATTTATACTGAACCTTTGGCACTGTAAAACAAGGTTATCGTTCTTGGGCAGATAACTGAACTTAGAAAACGGCTGCAGAATTCCACACCATAAACCAGAATGAACTTTAAAATTTATATTCCTAAACTGAACCCATCTGCCAGCCTTCAGTATGTGAAGGCCAAGCTTCTCATTGCATTGTTCAGCAGTCATCCTTAAGACAGTTCCAACAGATGGGAATGTACACAAAACATCTCTTGACAAAGGAGATGCTTCTAACTGCAGAGGAAGAGGGTTTTCAACCTCGTCGTCAAGCCTGCAGATGTAGATGTCAATACATTTGTCTTTTGGCAGAATTAATTGCTTGTAGCACAGAAGAAATAGTTAAGGAACTTGATGGAACGGATTTTCGTCCCTTAGAAGTGCACAAGTGCACTGTGTGGCACAGTGTAATAGCTAGTAGTAGAGAAAATTAATTAAATATCACCATTGGATATGAACTACCATTTTGCAAACAACTTTAAGAACAAGTTATGATGAGAAAATCATCATGGAAGAGTATGCATTTAGCCAATAAACAAAGAACAGTGCTTGTAATATGGGAAAGGAAAGATTCTATTAACAGCAAAGATTCCATTACTTTTATCACCTAGTTAGATAAAATGGGAAGATTAACTTCACGGGTAGCATGTTCATTGTTGCAAAGTAGGCCTTGTTTTTAGATTAGTTTGATCTCACAAGTATAATAAAAATAAAACTTCAGACTTGTATACAAATTAGACATGTTAATGTAGTACGCTTATTTGACACTTGCCTAGACCAGTATATGTGCCTTTGTTTGCTTTTGTTACCTCATAAGGAACTGCTTAGAATTGCCTTGTGTGTCTCACTTACTCCACAAGTACCCATATTACAAGCATTACTAATTACTATTATTTGGGGGAATCCCATTGGCCATCCATGTTTTTCATCTACATTCAAAGCGGAACCACAAGAAGATACATTGAAATATGAAAATCAGATCGTGAATGAAAAAGAAAAACTGTGAGAAGAATTATAACTTGAGATTTAGAAGGTGCAAAATTAGTTTATACACGGGATCTATGGTGTTGTTTAATAATCTTTGCTAACTTGAGCCGTGTGACATGACTTCTCTTCGCTTTTCTAGTTGAAAGACCTACAGTAATTCCTCTTAACAGATATTTGTTGCTTCAAGCTAAAGAGTAAATTTGCCCAGGCAAATTAAAAATAATTTTGGGGCTCTCACTGCTTGGATGAGACAACATAGGTTTTTAGGGCGAACTTTTGGCTTACAATATCGCTCATATGGGGACTGCTTAAAATGTATAAATCCTGAAAACCATATTTGTCAGATATTTATGACAAAAAGAATTAATTAACTCTATACTATCCTGTGGAGGAAAAGCTATCATTAAGATTTCAATCAGCAAATACTAGATATCTGATAAAATGTTGTACTAGTATCATGCATGGGATAAAATTGAAAACACTCGAACAAATTCCTGTGATATGTGTGCCTATCTAGAAGGAAGAAGTTCAACATTGCTGTTACAAAGGCCAATCATCAAGATGAGACCTCAATGACAGAGAATGACTGAACTACAGGAGGGATGGCATATAAGAAATAAGATTTGCAGGAGAAGGATAATGTATCCAATAGTTAAGAAACTACTATAAGGATAATCTGGGAAAGAGAAAACAGCATCAATTAGAATCAGTCCCTTCTTGGTTCATAAAAAAGTTATCTATGTGGCTGTCAATAATGCAATCCATATAACACAGCAGAACGTCTAAAATTAACCCCCGCCGCCGACCACCTTAAAAAGACATAGCTAGCCTCCCAAGAAAGGAGACGCCATCTTTGGTGTCTCTAGTATCTGATGTCCATATTACTAGATTACTCAGCACCCTTGCTTCAGCATTCCATCTGCCTCCCCCTAAGGCATTTATAATGATCATAGTTTATGTGAAACCAAAGCAAAGAAAGGCCAAAACTGCTGAGATATATAAAATTCAATTATACTCATTAGCTCCCAATTGAACATCCAAAACGTATTACTGTAACATAATATGTAGTGTGATCACAATCTAATGGTTGGCCTCCTCTTCTTTTACTTTGATGTGAAGCAAGCAATCAACGTCACCCTAAAGTATGTCAACAGACTAACAGAGAGCATAAGTTAGAAACACTTGAACCCAAGACCTTGCAAAACCAATGCTCTTACACCATGTTAGATATCCAAAAGCTTAAGCCTATAGTACCTTCATCAATCAGGAATAGAGATGTATTTATGTGTAGCAAAAAAGGCTAAATAATAGGTCTATAGGCAAAGGGAGCAGGAGAATTTTAAAACAATTAAGTAAAAACAGCCTCTTGGTCCATCCGATCCCATTTAGGTATGGTATGTAGAAAAGATCATTGAATCGACATATGCTAACTGTAACACAACGATGGCTTATCATATCCAGCATCATATAGATAATCCATTCAAAGAGAATAAACCATCTGTGGAAGAGAATCACCAAGATCTGATACAACTAAAACAAGACTATACAGCGAAAGGACCCAAAGTGCATGATGTGTTTAAAAAAAGGTGACCCTCGTGCACCAAGGCTCCTCACCCTTGAGAGGTTTGGGAGGAGAGAGTCTTCATTATGCATCTTTTCCCTAGCAATTTTCAAGGTCTATTTGTGTTGCTCTAGCCCTAAAAAGTTTATCATCTCTTCAGGTGTGACACTTTGACAGGTCAAAACCACAGTGATCAAGGCAGTGATCAGATCTCTCTCTCTCTCTCTCTTCCCCCCTTTCCCCCTACAACACACATAGATCACAATAAACCAGGATCTACAGTCCCTTACTTCAAACCAAATGGGGTGATGCCTCCCTGTCCCCCTTACATTGCAAGTACAGGCAGATACACAGATTAATAACAGTGCCATTTTATTTGCTTCTTTGGCTTGCCATTCATTTTGTTTCATCACTCGATGCACTCATTGTCAGTTTCATATTACTCATCAGGTGAAGTTACCATTTTCACTCATACGGAAACAAAAATAATAACTTAGTTCAGGGGATTTTTGTAGAGAACAGGCCTCAAATTGACAGTCTTCGACCCAAATGTGCAAAGCAAGTGACCCAAATGTCATTAGGATTATTCATGTACACACGAACTCAGTACATGAGTTTGACCACCAAAGATGAACCAACACTCACTTTGTATGAACATTCAGCGGTGGAGCATCAGTTCCATCCCATACAAAAAGCATCCACTCACCTTCCTTGACTTCACAGATATGAAGAACCTACATATCACAAGGATTCTTAAATAGCAATAACAAGATATAAACCTTTGTGACAAAAGCAGGGATCAAATATCAAACTAAGTAGTTCAAACGGCAAAATTCCCATCAAGAAGTAGCTTCCCAAAGATGGAAGAAACTTGTAGAAACAACTTTTTGAAAGACAGACATAATACAGAAGATTAACCACTTTAACCTTTTCAGCCTTCCACTTAAACATCAATCCATAAAACCGAGCCTACTAATACGGCAAAATACTCCATAAAATTGATAACCAACAAACGACTCTCTCGCTCTCTCAAAACCACACATCCATAAAATAAAATCGAGAAATACAAAATAGAGATGTATGGGGTTGCATTGCACCGGTACAATTCTAGTGTCAATTAACACATGCATGTAACAATATATAATTTACTTGCTTAAATATGTATATTCCCAAGTTTGTGGTCAAAATAAATCCAAATACATTGAAGCACTAAAAGAATATTTTGTCTTAAATACCTTACAAGTCAAGTTGAATCGATGTCCTTCCTTGATCTCTTTCAATGACAAGGAATCACTTAATGCTGTCAATTACATGATTCACGATAAGTACTCAATTAGGAAACGCACACATAAATAAGAATGAAAAAACTATATTACATAGCACTACTAAGTTTTAATCTTAATAAGTAAGGAATGGCATGCAAGGCAGCAAGTGGACAGACAAAAGCAAACCATTTACATATAACATACATAGTTTGAACTTCTTGTTCAACATGTAAGAGATCTTACTACTATCTCGGAACCTTGTAACCACAAAAGTACCCCCATTTAAATAATTAGTTTGCGATTAAACTACTTTAAACGTTTTCCCTTCCCTCTATGCTGTTCTACTATTAGTTACTTTATCATCTATCCTCGTCCATTTTTTTAACAAGATCACAAACCCTTCGCTTCCTTCTCCTAGTTTGAAGACTGGGAGACTAGTCTGATAAAGGATGACTAAAACTAAGAGATAAACGAACTTAAGAACAAGAGAGAATATAAGGAAGAGATTTTTCTTTCTTTCCAAGGATGATTTACAAATGAAGGGGAGCCTTCCTTTTATAGGCAAGGAAAAGGTACCCCAACATAAGCATTACAAAAGCATGACATAAGCAAGTAATAATGCAAACTAATAAGACAAACTAAATGAGGTAAGCGCGTACATCACATGAAAGTGACTTCAAGCTTACATCATTATTACAACATTATTTTGCCCTTCATATTATTCTACGATAATTACTTCCAACAAGAGTCAGGATGAGATGGATCATCTTCATAAGGATCATGCATTTTTTCTCTGAAGTCATAATGCTCGTCGTCTTCATCAAAATCTTTTTCATTGGAAGTGTCTATTTTCTTCGTGAGATGATTCTGGAACCAATATTCAAGTGCTTCGTCCCATGATGCAGAAATTGGATTATCTGAAGACCAGAGTTTTTCATTGTTCATAATCTCCTCTAGGATTGAATTTGGATCTACTAGGTTAGCACTGGCTAGGATCCGCCGTGTTTCCATATACCTTTTTGGTTGGGATAACTCGAAGTACTTACTGCCTGGGTCGTTATCATTCCACTCGTGGATGAATAACAGTGGAGAGTGGTAGACCAATGATTGTTGTTGTCGAAGCCGTATGTGGTAAGGAGCAGGGCCTCCTAAACATGACCACAACATAAGTCTTATAACAGACAACTAACGGTTGAATCCATTGATGCGCTGGGAGGAACCACTGGAAAAGGGTGAACACATGATGTGCCCCTGGGGGTGGAGTCTCAAACTGACATTGAAAAATGTAGATGAGCAGTTTGGCCGAGTTGAATGGTATTGCGATGGTGTGAGACTCAAATAGATACCAACAGAAACAAAGTGCCTCCTTCGGGAACCTATGTAAGTTATGGATGTGGAAGACATTAAGGTACGGGTAATCCGGATGGAATTGGAGGTTTATGAACATGCAATGTTTTTTTAGCATGATAGTGAAAAACGTTTTGTAATTCAGCTGGGACCTCTCTCTCAAGGTAAGGTCGGCGATTGTTTTTGTTATTCGTCTGGTAGAACTTGTGATGGAGTTGTGGTACTTTCAGCTGGATTAGCCTGTTGGGAAGTGTTTGGAATAAACGAGCTGGAAGAGCTTGCTTTCTCCACAGGAAACACCATTGGAAGGACTTCGGCTTTGTGGAATGTCTGGATGTCTTTTGGAACATCATATTTATAGCCCTTTGGTCTGGACAAAAAATCTGCTAGAATATTTTCGGACCCCTTGATGTGTTTCACAGTAAATTTCCATTGAGAGAACCAATTTGCACACCTCAAAAGTTGGGCTTTTGGGAGTATCTTTCTTTTGAAATGGAGCATGCATGGGAAAGAAGACATATCCATTTCAATCTGGAAGTCATGACCGATTAGATGGAATTGGAATCTTTCTAATCCCCTTTTGACAGCTAAGATCTCTTCGAAGGTAGAGTGGTAGTGTTGCTCTGATTTTTTGAACATGCCACTTTTGTATCCACAAATTGTTCTGACACGAGTCTTGTCTTGAACTATTAAGACTGCCCCTGGTTCTTATCGCTTGCATTAGTCTGGAGGACTCTTTTGTCGAAAACAGTAGGAATCTTTAAAGGAGGCATCACATCAGCTAGTTGTTTTATCTTTTTTATATCTAATGTTTGTTTCCTATTCCAAGGGGGTGGATTTTTTTCAGCATGGGGAATAAATGCACAGTGTGGCTCGATAATTTAGGCAAAAAATTTGCCATATAATTTACTAGCCCAAGAAATTGTTGAATTTCTTTTTGTGATGTCAATATTCCTGGGAACTTGTGCAGTTCTTGAGCAATGTGAGGATGTGGTTGGTATTTTCCATCAGATATTTTCATACCAAAAAAATCAATAGAATTTACTTTGATTTCCATCTTTTTCTCGGATAACATGATCTCATGCTCTTTGACAATGAAATGAAACCTGGTGAGTAAATCTTTGTGAGATTTTTTGTCTGGCGAGAACAGAAGGATATCATTGATGTATACTAGAGTGTTGTCGAGAATAGGTTCAAAAATTCTTATCGCCTTTTGGCAGACAGATGGAGCATTTTTTAAATCGAATGGCATTACTTTCCTATGGTAGTGATGGTCTGGGATGCAGAAGGCAATTTTTGGTCTGTCATCAGGTCTTCATCCTAATTGCCAAAATCCAGCTTTGAGATCAAATTTTGACAAAACCCTTGCATCTATGAGAGACTGGAACGATGACTTTTTCTGTGGTAGAGGGAACTTGTCATCAACCAAAAATTGGTTAAGGGGTTGATAATTCATGACTAGCCTAGGCTTGTCACGAACTTGTTCACTCCTCTTGTTGACGTAGAATACTTCACATGCCCATGGTGATGTGGAGATCTACTTTTCTTCAGAAACTCTGTGTGATTGGAGGCGCAAGAAGTTTTGAGTAATCTGATGTTTGAGATTATCCATAGTGAGATTTGATGCCATATAGAGTCGTGGAAAAGAGCTCCATGGATTCAGGAAACTCTTGTAGCGTAGACCGTGTTCTGCGTACCTCAATCCTGGTAGTGTATGGAGTATGTCGAAACCAATTAGATGGTCCTTGTCGTGCAAACTGGATCCTAATAATCTGTATTTAACCACACATTTAGGAAGTATACTGGGATACTGATTTTGTCAATGACAAAAGTATCACCATTGGCTGCAAGGAATTGTTGGTGATGTGGCTTCGAGTAGTTGTTGGGTAGGATATTGGGATTCAATATTGAAACAGAAGACCCAGTATCAAAGAAGGCGACAACCGAGATAGGTTTGGCATATCTTGTGGTGAGAAGGTGGACTTTAGCTAAAGGAACTGGCTATGATTTATGTACGGGTAATATATGCGCGATAGAGTTATGAATTTGTGGGAGAGGAAGATGGGTTGCCTGCAAAACTGGGAGAGGTTTTACCATGAAAACTTCGATGTTGGGATGGTATTCTAAGATCAGTTTCGGACTCTTCATCCGAAGAGTCTGAATAGGCAATTGAACATAATGTCTGGTCATTAAGCTCATCATTAAGAAAATAGAGGGATTCCAGAGCTGAGATGTCGACTAGTTCAATTTGGTTGAGTGTCTGAATCAGTGCTTGGGATTTTCTCTTGTCTTTACAATCTCTTGCAAAATGCCCTTTTTTGTTGCATATATAGCACTTGTAAGAATTTCGACACCGCTGTGGTTTCTGCTTCAGAAACTTCCATCTTTTGTTACGACCGTTATGTGGAAAGAATGGCCTTCTCCTTTCACCTGAACTATGAAACTGTTTAGAAAAGGACATCTTCCTTTTGTGGGAACAACCTTAGGAAGTAACTTTCTTTGCATTTTATTCATAAATACTTGTCATCACAAGCTATACGAAGGGTTTTGCTAGTCTTCTCAAGATCAGAAAAAAAAGTTTTTCTGATTGCAGAGCTTAGCAAATGCATTCAATACCAACTGGTAATGTTCTCCTATCGAGGCTTGAGCAACTGTGATTCCTTTCAACTCTAAGAATCTAAATTATTCATTTGCGAGAGTTTCTCGGAAGGAGTTTAAGAATACTTGCTTGAGATTCACATCATCTGGTCCATTTAGACAATAAAATCTTTCTGCATGCAATCATAATGTCTTTCAAGATCTTTTTCTGATATGAACAACACTTCATTTTTAAGAATTATTCTCTCGCATGGGTAGTGTGCTCGATTGGATTACCTATAAACTCAACATAGATTTTATGTATGAGTTTTTCGGGAGACTGAGATTGCTGGATTTGTAGTTGCTGATACTCTCCAAGACTCAAGTACCAATCTCTGAGGCGACCTTGACACCTGGTTATGAATCTTTTAACTATTATGTCAATATCATAGTATTGGAGTTCTGCACTACACCTTGTTTGCATCTCAATGCTTCTATCCCTCCATCTTGATGGAGGAGTGTCATCAAAGGTGACCTGCTATTTAGTATCACCTTTTGGAGCTTTGGCCCGTCTTTTGGGGTGTTGTTTATGAACCAGTGTCACTGGGTCCTTCTTCTACTTCTGAATCAACATGATACCCGGCTTCTGGCTCTGTCATGAACACGTGCTTGAATGCCTCTGCTGAATCAAAATCACCTTCCTCATTAGTAGAGGAAGAGATGATTGGTGCAACAACAACAGTGGATGCAGTAGGGGTATTCTTTTGGGTCAAATAATGTAAGAAAGAAGAAATAGGGTTTATTTCTTCCACTGGATGAGGCTATCTCGGTTCTTTCTAGGGTTTGTTGAGATATAGCAGGAAACAAAGTGGGCTTGCTTGTTCTTTTTTCTTTATTAAAGGACCATAACATTACTGACGGAGATGTCTGTATGAATGGTGACGAGAGAAGTGGTTGTGGATCAAATGCAGTTCCAATATAGGGAATGGAAGGTAACCTCCATGGATCATCAACCAGGGTTGATAATCGTTTTCGTTTGTGTTGTCTCTCAAGATCCATAAGTTGAGCTTTTAGGAACTTCATTTTTTATTCCTTTTGAGTGAGAGAATTGGAGGTTGGTGAAGGACTATTGTGAACTATCTGGATAAGTTCATTGTGAAGACCTTGTATCTTGAACCTAATCTTAGTGATCATACCTTCGAGAGTCTGCACTTTTGTCGTAAGAACCTCTTGTGTCTTTGTCAGCTTTATCTGTTGTGCCAAAATAGTTTTGAGAACTTTGTTTTGGGCAACAGCTTTTTCACTCTGCCAGTTTAGAGTGGCTTCAGCATGACTGACGGTGCTGGTTTCTGTCGAGCTTATAGTTGTGGGTGTCTTGATCTTCCAATCATGCCTCGCTCTTTGGGGGGGATGTTCAAAGGGACTGAGTGGCGAAAATTCTTCCTCGTACTCATATGGGATTGTTGGTGTTATAACACAACATTCACCTTGGGACTGGGTGGGGGGTTTATGAGAAGGTGAGGTATGGCAGGGCTTGAGGGTTGGAAATGCTTTGGAGGGCGAGTTTCCATACAGAACATAGTAATTGAACTTGCCTGATAATTCACCTAGGAGTCCAACAGCAGGAGCTTCATACTTTGAGATCCTTTTTGGGGAATATCTTCATCGTAATCAACCCTGTATGCTTCGTCCAAGCAATCTTGGCAGTTGCATACATCGTACCAACAATGTTGGTCTTTTTGTACCAATGATGATTCTAATGGTTGGATCATGCCAATGGTTGGAAATATGTCTGTCTTTGTTTCTCTGTTCGAGAATGACTTCAACCATTCAATGTTCATGTCGAATGAAATATGGAGTTGTGTTTGTTTGCACAGGGCTTGACGGATCTTTTCGTAATTCGTTACCCATTTTTCTGGTAGAAGTTTGAGCAACTCCTTTCTAGATAACTGTCTTGGAACATACGTGCATGTTGGAGTGGCACTTGAATTTGACATCAATAAGAAAGCATCTCCTGCGTGTTCTTGTTTTGGAACCATGATGTCCAAAGAGTGGTTTTGGACTTTGTATGTCATTTGATAGTGAAAGGTTGTCTGGAAGGTGTTAACTTGGGCAGTTCTACCTATCTGTATCTGGGATTTGAGGGTTGTATATAATGAGGGATCATTGAGAGGCATATTGAAATTAGGATAGAAAGTGACAAAGATTGTTCCTACGTTCAAGGTTGTTTATATAGTACCTATGCAAGCATGTTGGTATCCTACAAATCTGGTGTCAACTAAGGCAATACGAGAGAACGCTGGAAGACCTTTACTACCATGAAAGTAAGGGCTAATCAAATAGCTCCAAAATGGATGTGTATATCCTTGAGCTAAGCAATGCCTCAGATGATCTGTTGTGAGGGATAATGTCACTAGATGTTCGGCGGTGGTGGCTGGGAATTGGTGAGAGTCGAACTTGGATGCATAAACAAATTCTTTCACCTGATGGTTTGAGTTGGATCCGATTAATTTTTTACTTTTTTAGAAAAAGAGGAAGTTGGCTTAGAAAAAACACTATAAGGGTTAACTATAGGCATACTTGATATGGGTATTTTTGAATTATCTAGGACATAGAAAATTTCATATAACTGATCTATCTTAGAGGTAGAAGATTGATGGAAACTTGAAGAGTTTGAAGATGAACGGGAGTAAGAAAGATCTGAGTTCATGATTGGGTATGATATTCTTCCTTAGGACAAAGATCTATTCTCAATCTTGTTTCAAAATATAGATGCGACTTCTCTTACGTCGACTTACAAATTTTTCACCAAGAAGATGAGAATACAAAACCTCTAAGGCTTAATATCGAATCACTCGACTTTATCTTTTAGATTGGTTTTCTGATATGGGAGATCTGTATAAAAACGGCAGCCATAGAGCATACTAATCCAAATCTTGAAAGAGAAAGGAGGGGGAACGGCAGTGAGGCTCTAATACCAAAGTTATATTCAACAGGAAAATTTGGAGAAAAAGATGGTCTAAAAAATAAAAACTAGAAAGTAGACAAAAAAATGAAATGCAAAGATATATCAGTCTATCATGAAACTCTAAGGGGTTGTTTGGTTCTTGAACTTGAAGGAAATTGATGGAATTGGAATGAAAATTTCCTTTGACCAAATTCCAGGATAATGTTTGGTTTGCAGATTGAATTGGTTGGATTCCGCCGAATTCCACGGTTGAGGGATTTGATCATTCCTAGGCATAAGTGAAGGATTTGAATTCCATTTTGTGGCAAATGTAACAGATTTTATGATTTAGATTTAATAAAGACAAATAACATTTACATCCATCTTTAACCAACACCAACACCCTCACCATCTTTGCCGCCCCCACCACTCCCCAACTTTGCTGCCACCATAGCCACCACCACCCACCCACCACAACCAACTTCATAGCCTCCGTCGCTGCCGTTGCCATAACCGCCACCCACCCCACCCCCATATGATTCATAATCCCTACCATGCCTCTTACCGGGTAAGATTCTCCATCCTTGCCATGCTCATCCAGTAAGGTAAGTGACCTGGTTAGCGTTTGGTAAACGGCCCCTTAGTCAAACTTGATATTTCTTGAACACATATTGGCATTACCCTTTCATCCTTTGCCTCCCGCAAGTACAAAACAACAATATCAATAGGGTTTAATCAAAAAATTCTTTCGTTTTTAACCCAAAATGGGTTATAGTATTCATCCTCAGATTTGACATGGGCCAAACCTACCTGATTTATAACTAGACAACTGCATGATGTCTTGGCCTCTAAAGCATCCAAGGTGATACGGCCTTCACTTGACAACGACTTAATTAGTCGATGGAAACTTATTGGAACCTTATATCATTAGCACACTGAAAGCACCGTAGTCGGCATTTTCTTTCATATGGAATGATAAGATACAAATGTGACGGGTAAAACGGTCTGGCATATATCACCCCGTGTTCAAGGAAAGAGGTTGGGATCAAGCACATCACACGCTACATAAGATTATCCAGTTGATGTGCTTAATTGTAAATTTTAATTTTTCAAAGGTTGTTGCTTTATATGGTGTCAAAACTAATCTACTATGAAGCTTAAATTGTAGGCATTTCTTATAACTACAATTAAAAGGTAATGTCAATACTTGTTAATTTGTCATAGTAATATGATCTTTACTTGGATACCTGTCTCATGTTGGCGACTAATTGTCCACTTTCTCAATCCCGCTATCAACTTCTTGTCTTGCTCTCTAGCATGAAACTTGGATGAAACTTGATAAGGTACAAATTCTGAACAATCTCTTCCTTCATATAATGCAAATGAAGAATACTTTTTATTAAAAAGAGCATAAACCTCTGACCCATGAATTTTCATCTGAAATAAAAACAAAAAACGAATCAAGTTGCGCCTACCAAGAATAACTAGCTCGATACTTCGTGCCATAAAGAATAACGTCTCCTTGCAAAAGAAAAAATTGCTTCACCTTCATACATGCCAAATGTCAAGAAGAGCAACGATTAAGTCATTCAAAAAAATGCAATTGAATAGAAAAGATCTTTCTCGCAGCTTAACATATTGAAAAAAACATCAAGGTCCACATGATTGAGAACTCTAAGAGGCTAATGAACTCAACTTTCAGTAGACATCCCTACCGGTGATACCAAAATCTGTAATAAACAGAAGTGGATGCACAATTCTTCTTCGCATTCACGGTGTCCTTCCACAAAAACAGAAGCAGCTAATATGTTAGTTTAGCTACAGTATATGATTTTGAGTTCTTAAGCTGTTTTGACCATTTGTGCAACTATACATTACACCAGCATTCGAAAACAACCACTAAAGGCCTTGGTTGATTTAGTTTACAATAATTTAGATGAGAATTTTCCGTCTATTAAAGCTATTTTAGACCTTGTGCAGCTGATTAAGACCACGCAAAAACAATAGGGCGAGGATCAACAAGACGCCTTAAACAAGATATTTAGAATTTCATGTTTGTTTTGACAAGGATTTGCAACATCTAAAAGCTAATATAGAAATAATTTTTTGTTAAACCCCAAATTTAATTATGGTCACAATTCCTTGAATAAAATGATGAAATCTTCAAGACTCTTATCATTTAATAGAGAATAATATTAGAATGTGAAAAATGATCAGCAGTTGTATGCAACAAACCTCTTCTTAGAATGAAGAAGTGGCATAGATATATCTCTAGAGATCCTAGCATTCACATGTAGGCTTACTAGTTGCAATGTTTTTCTTATCTACTACCCAATCAGCCACAATCTTTCAATGTCCCAAGTCTGTTCAGCAATCAGCATCACCAATGCTTGTTAAATCATAATCAATAAATGTGTAATCCACACCCTAGTAAAATAAGCACCACGAAGGCCTATGCACAAAGGACAAGGGTAGCACACACCCAAGTGAAGCAAAAAACACATTGGCTACTATAAGATGATCAAAATCGTACATAACAGAAGCTTTTTTTGAAACTTTTATAATGAAGTTATAATTGAACATAGAAACAGACCAAATTCCCAACTAAACTGGAAGCAAAAACAAGAGAACAGAATCAAGAATCAAGAAAAGCGAAAAAAATGGTGAGGAGGGCGTGTGAGTTTATTTATTTTATTTGCCGTATATAAATATGATATACTTAAAAAAAATGGTTTTCGTCAAGTCATGCCAGCACAGTAGAGAGAAATAAGGCTAAGCAGAGCGAAAAAGGTTTTCCATGAGATGGAAAATGAAAAATGATTTAGCCCCACAGGAAGCTAGTGACTAAGTGATTGTCTGATAAGGAGCAAGGAATATCCGTCTTTCCATCGCTTAATGCTAGGGATGCAAAAAAATCTGATGCACCCCAACCGATAATAGCAGAACTAGAATGAAATCAACTATTCAAACCAATTGATTACAGAAGGTGTTTTCTGGCTTTCGAGAGGCAAGCTCTCCTAAGGACTCATGTCCAAGTTGACACAAAACAGAATACCCCTTCACGCTCCTCACCCCACTTATTACTAAACCCCAAGCCTTACCTACTAGTACCATTTACGCGTTAATACTCGCAATAACCTAGGGTATAACAATACCCGCCCCCCAAACATCCACCTTGTCCTCAAGGTAGAAAGAACTAATATTGCTTCTGCCACTTTACATGATCCCTCCTATATCCTCCAACATAAAATAAACTTTTCAATTAAGGGTGTTATCCCTGATTTCCATCATTCTATTTTTAGAGATTTTCTCTATCCTTTCTTTAGTTGAAAGGATTCTCCTTCTTTTGTATAAATAGTCTTGCTTTGTGTTTTATAATTAACAGGAAAATATATGAAAAGCCTTTTAGGCTCAACTCCGTTTGGTTTCTAGATGGTATCAGAGTGTAGTTTCTGATCATCACCTTTCGTGGAAAACCTTTCCTGTAACTTCTATAGATACCAACCAGACCAAACGGCTCTGGTTAGCGAGTCCACCAGCTCCACCACCGACCAAAACAAATCCAACAACCCTCCTCCACAAGTTCAACAAATGGTTGCTCTCCAGATATCTTTTCCCATCACTGGTCACAAGCTAAATTTCAGCTTGTGGTCACATTCCATCCAGATATTCATTGGCGGTGTAAGACAGAGAGAACTAGGACAGAGATATTAGAGAGAATTCTCTATTATATGATTAATCAGAATAAAAATAATTTACAAGAGGAGAGACACTATATATAGACATAATTACACGGGAAACCCTAACCCTAAAGCCCATCAAGCCCATCGGGCTTGGACACATGACCATAAACAGGTTACTTAATTAACACTACCCCTCAAGCTGGAGCATATATATTGATCATGCCCAGCTTGTTACAAAAAAATGTGATTCGGTTCCCTGGTAATGCTTTGGTGAAGACGTCGGCTAATTGATTGCTAGTTCTGACATGAGAGGTTGAAATAGATCCATCTTCAAGCTTTTCCCGAGTGAAATGACAATCTATTTCAATATGCTTAGTTCTCTCGTGAAATACCGGATTGCTTGCAATATGGATAGCTGCCTCATTGTCACACCATAAATTCATCGGTTTAGATTGATTAAATCCAATCTCTCCCAATAGATTA